GTGCACGGAAGACCGAGCTCTCTCTCTCTCTCTCTCTCTCTCCCTTCCATCTCACCTCTTCCCCCTCGTGCAGGGCTATCTATGGAGGGCACGGTCGAAAGATAAATAATTTTGCCTGAAAAGCGTTGCCGGAAGACAAACAGACAAAGACACGATGTCTCGAACGAACGATGAAAGAAAAGAGGCATACGGTGTGGTTGTGGCCCCATACCGCGAGAGTTAAGTTAACCACCGCGATACATACCGCAAAACAAATTTACTCGATAAGAAATGTTTATTGGCACAGGGGGAGGGAACACGATATCACGTTATTTCTCGCGACGGTATTTTAAAATTAAATGGAGGGAAAAAAAATACGAGCATCTCGATCATCGTTCTACCGGAAATATTCGTATTCTATTGATATAAGAGACGTGTACATGGAGGGGGGGATTTCACGAATTAATCAATGGGAACGATTTCTAGCCCCTTGTTGCTAGAATGGCATTTATAAGAGGAGGGTTCTTCTCTGTGAATTCATAAATTATAAAAAGGGGGGGAGGAGGGGGACACGATACTCGAAACGTCGGAGCCTTCTTCTGTAATGGATACCTCCTCGCAAGGGAATCACGCGTAAGGAAATGATTGTAAAGCAATACGGAAGGAACGACTTCTTATTGTGAGATTTCTCGAGTAGGATGTTCCTTGTTGAAACAGAAGACGGAACCAGAAGGGTGGCAAAGTAACCACGAGGGGTCCATGGATAAAGCACTCTACACACAGCTCTCTCTCTCTCTCTCTCTCTTTCTCTCTTTCTCCTAGTCGTCTCCTTTGCTCTCCCCGTGGACCAATTTACGGCACCCCGAGGACTCGGGTATTACGCTTCACGCTTGGGGGTTCGTTCCTGGCCATTGTTGTGCCAGTCAGGGGATTATTTCGGCAAGGACGAGGGATGCTTTCCCAGTTGCAGTCGTTTCCCTCGGTTACCTATCCCTCCCCCCTCCCCTGCCCTTCCTCAGATTATACGTTCCCTCGAGCACCTGCATCCGAGCTAAGCTGTCCCGTCCGATCTCACTTTTCTCTCCTTCTCTTTTCTTTTTCCAAAGTGAGAAAGAAGAAGAAGAAGAAAGAAAGTGGAAAAAGAAACCGAGAAAGATCCAACCGAGGCTATCTTCGCCGATTAATTCGCCTCTGATATCGGAAAGAAAACCATTTAACGTAATAAGCTACTACTTCACTTCGGAGAGTTCAGACCTCTGTATCTCTCTCTCTCTCTCCCCCGAATCCAGTCGACGATCGAGAGACCCATTAAAAACTCTTACAAATAGCAATTATAAACGGGAAGCCGGCGATAAAGAGCGTTCGTCCATTTAATTATCTCAGTCTTATTGAAGAGGAAACTAGGCGAGCGTGCACGGGCAAATCAAATCGTTTTATCGGTATCCGTTCCATGAACCTTAACACAGTACGATTCGACGAGACGGGGCTATCGTTTTTTTCTTCTTCCTCCTCTTTTCAACGTTCTCCAAAAAGTTTTTTATCGGAATCAGTCCGCCCTCCGATTCTCTCTATCTCTTTTTCCCCTCTCCTCCTTCCTTCCTCCACTTTCCCACTCCCCTCCTTTCGTTTTTTTTTTTTTTATTTCGAT